AGGACTGGCCACAGCTGGATTTGCTACCACCACAGGAAGAGCAGGACTGACCACCGCAAGAGGACTGGCCACAGCAGGATTTACTACTACCACAGGAAGAGCAGGAGGACTGGCCGCCACAAGAGCAGCAAGATGACTGACCACAGCAGGGAGTACAGCACTGTTGACATTCACAGCAGGGAGTACAGCACTGTTGACATCCACAGCAGGGAGTACAGCACTGTTGACATCCACAGCAGGGCACACACAAAAGCACGGCCCCACAGGTTCCACAGGTGCCCCCGCAACCGCCACAGCAATCCCCACAGCAGGTCATCTTTGTAGGCAAACTAAAAAACAAATGAACACATCTATGTAATCAAGATACACAGTTACCTTTTGGACGAACATCTTCAGTGCCAGAAGAGATTTTGGTTTTGTGAACCCTTATGAAAGAACTAGAAATTAAATTGCTTGTGTACGATGGATAAGATTACAAGTAAGATCTTTGATGCTCTTTGAGCTTGGTTGTTCTCTTACAGACATTTCATTACCCAAACTAGTAACATTATCAGTAGTAGTAAGGGGTGGCCTTATCAGCAAACCCCATTCCTTATTAGCACTGATGATGTTACCTAGTTCAGGTAAATGAAACATCTGCAAGAAAACAACCAAGCACAGAGAGCATCAAAGACCCCTCATTTCAACCCTCAGCTACAAATATTATCCTTTAAAGATACAAAAAGTGATGTAAAGACCTTTAAAGGACCTTCCAGTCGCTCTAGATTCCCGGCAATTGCCTGGAACTAGTCTGTGCGGTTTTCTTGGCAAGGTTTTTGTAGCTGGGTTGCTGTGGTCACCTTCTTTGTAGGGCTGAAGGTAACTGGCTCGAAGTCAGTATCAGCTGGCTTCATACCCAAAGCACCACTACACCAAATAGGTGCTCAAAGCCAACCATACATATATAACAGACTCAGGATCACCCATTAAGTTGCGGTTCAGAAGATTTATTGTTCAAGCCTCTACACAAGAATCTAGTCAACCAAAGTCCAGCACTAAATTGGCACCAGATAAGAGTCAACGGAAATCAAGAAAGGTTGGACTTAGACTGTTTATGGGAATGTAAAGATTCTAGGCTGATAACTTGGCATAATTGGCATAGTTTGTGAGAATTCTTTCATTATGTCGTCTTTTCTCCAACTACCTGGTTCCCTCAACTTCAGTTAATTTCAGATATAAATATTATGGAAGATTTTCCATTGAGTTTTCTCTGATGAATAAATGTTGCAGTTATTGGGGCCTGTAAAAACGAGTATATTCCAGCCCATCCTGTAGTACATAACCACACATACACAAAAAAGCTCACAAAACCACCAAAGAAATTATAAAGAATTATGTAAACAAATTGCAGCATCTTTCATTGGAAGATACTGCAAGATATATTTCAGTATAACATTATGTTCTTACCTTGAGTAGTATCGGTCGACTGTAAGACAAGGAGAAGAATTGTGCAAATATTGTC